ACTTTCAGCGAGCACGATTGTGTCATCTGCATAACACAAGTTGTTAATGAGTCTTCCTCCAATCCTGATGCCCAGTTCTTCTTCATATAGTCCAGCTTCTTGGATTATTTGCTCAGTATACAGATTGAATAGGTATAGTGAAAGGATAAAACCCTGATGCACACATTTTTTTACTTTAAACCACGAAGTATTCCCTTGTTCTTTTCGAACAACTGCCTCTTGATCTATGTACAGGTTCTTCATGAGCACAATTAATTGTTCTGGAATTCCCATTCTTCGCAATGTTATCTGTAATTTGTTATGATCCACACAGTCAAATGCCCTTGCATAGTCAATAAAACACAGGTAAACATCTTTCTGGTGTTCTCTGCTTTCAGCCAGTATCCATCTGATATCAGCAATGATAGCCCTCATTCCATGTACTCTTCTGAATCTGGCCTGAATTTCTACCAGTTCCCTATTGATATACTGCTGAGCTGCTTTTGAATGATCTTCAGCAAAATTTTACTTGCATGTGATATTAATGATATTGCTCAATAATTTCCACATTCGGTTGGATGACCTTTCTTGGGAGTAGGCATAAACATGGATCTCTTCCAGTAGGTTGGCCAGGTAGTTGTCTTCCAAATTTCTTGGCATAGAAGAGTGAGCACTTCCACTTCTGCATCCATTTGCTGAAGCATCTCAATTGGTATTCCATCAGTTCTTGGAACCTTGTTTTTCACCAATGCCTTCAGTGCAGCTTGGACTTCTTCCTTCAGTATCATTTGTTCTTGCTCATATGCTACCTCTTGAAATGGTTAAACGTCTATCAATTCTTTTTGGTGTAATGACTCTGTGTATTCCTTCCATCTTCTGTTGATGCTTCCTGCATCATCTAATATTTTCCCCCATTGAATCCTTCACTATTGCAACGTGAGGCTTGAATTTTTAATTCAATTCTTTCAACTTGAGAAATGCTGAGTCTGTTCTTCCCTTTTGGTTTCTATCTCCAGCTCTTTGCACACATCATTATAATACTTTATCTTCTTGAGCCACTCTTTGAAATCTTCTGTTTAGTTCTTTTACTTCATCATTTTTTCCTTTTGCTTTAGCTACTCAACATTCAAGAGCAAGTTTCAGAGTCTCTTTTGACATTCATTTTGGTCTTTTCTCTCTTTCCTGACTTTTTAATGACCTCTTGCTTTCTTCATGTATAATGTCCTTGATATCATTCCACAGCTTCTCTGGTCTTCAGTCATTAGTGTTCAACCTGTCAAATCTATTCTTGCGATGGTCTCTAAATTCAGGTGGGATATACTCAAGGTCATACTTTGGCTCTCCTGGACTTGTTCTAATTTTCTTCAGTTTCAACTTGAACTTGCATATGAGTAATTGATGGTCTGATCCGTAGTCGGCCCATGGCCTTGTTCTGACTGATGATATTACCTCTTCCATTGTCTCTATCCACAAATGTAGTCGATTTGATTCCTGTGTATTCTATATGGTGAGGTTCATATGTATAGTCGCCATTGACGTTGGTGAAAAAAGGTATTTGCAATGAGTCCACTCAGATAAAGAAGAATGAGTCTTTCAGATGTAGTACAGTGAATCTGGAAAAACTGGGTAATTAGTTTGATATCAGGGTATACGGGTTGGGAACTACAGGGTGGATCATGACTGTAAACCTAGTAGATGGCTCTAGCTCACAGATCCTGAAGGAACTGGTATTCTCTGTTTTTCTTCTTCACTGGCAGAATGGGGGTGTTAAATGTGATAGACATCATCTGAGCAGTTCATGTTTCAGGTATCCAGTGATGATTTTTCCCAGTGCCCGTCAGGCCTCTACCTGGATGGGTTATTACTTAAGTCAGAGGAGAACTAAGCCAGGTTGAAGCTCAACCCCACTTTCATTATAACTAGAGGCTCAGGTGGAGGCCTTGCCTCCACTCCTCCTCAATTTGAGTCTTCTGCCATAGGCATCATAGGCCATTGGGCAACCCCATGCTATTTCTTACCCCTACGTAAGAATTTAAGGCACTCTTTCTTCCCATGTCCCCTCTCTTTGCACTAGGCACACTGGTCCCAGCTTAATGGGGTCAGGGCCTCTCACATGCCTCTCTCTTCAGGGGCCCTCCCCTTCTTGGGCGTCCAGGAGACGGGTAATTTCCCCACAAGGCAATGTCTAGAAATGCAGCCTGTCTCTCTGGTTGGTGATTTTTTTCTCTTTTCCTGTTCTGGGTCCCAAGCTCAACAAACCGTGAGATCCCTGACTCAATACTTCCCTCAAGTTTTTGGAGTTTTCTCCATGTATCCTGGGCACTCTGCCCCATAAAAATCAGAGTCACCATAGAAGCATTTTCAAGACTCTCAGGGTTCATGTCTGTGAACTGTCTAAAAGCCTTACACACTGATACAATCTAATTTTGTTCACCAACCTAATAATAGACACCTAGAGCCTTTTACACCCTCAACAGCCAATTCCTCCCACTTCTTAGTACTCTTAAGGCCTTACCTAGGAATTACCCTGTTATTTAAAAAATAACCCAAAATACCTAGAACCTCTAATGTCCTCAGTGGTTAATTCTTTCCATTTCTTGAGTCTCTTCAAAGGTCTTATCTAGGTACTTACCAAATAACCCAGGTGCGTTTCATATCTCCCAGGGAGTCACAGTTGAGTCTCAAGCAGATCAACTTTCAGGGATGTTAGAAGGTCTCTGGGAGAAATCTCCTGGTGGGGCCAGACATCAGGGCTGGTCTGTTGTCTGATTTGTCTCAAACTGAGAGGATGACTCCTATCTGCCTCGTCAGAAATGTTGCTGGGTAAAAACCCCAGGTTTTGTTCAGTGCAGCTAGTCTCAGCCAATAAAGGAGAGACCAAGGTGGGAGAGTGGAAAGGCATCTTTATTTCATTGTGCAATGAAGGGAAACAGTTGGGGCTGCTGCCACAAAGACTGCTCAGAGAGGGCAAGGGGAAAGGTTACTTATAAGGGGTTTATAAGTAGGACGTTCATATAAGTTACATCAGTAATATTATTAATCATATTATGCAGCTGCAATGGGGTTTACATAAAACTTCATGCATCACGTGTCCAGAATATGGCAGTTAAACTCTGCCCAGAGGCTTGGTATTACTATATATGAGGTCTAAAAGGTTATCCTGAATGTCAACATGGTGTCTAAACTGATTCCTGCCATTTTCCTCTAGTTTTGGGTAGCAGTTAAGAAAGAAACCACAATTTTAATGTAAAGCCACAGGGCCTGCCAAAAAAAGGAACTAGGAGTCTATTGTAAAACTAAGGTGAGTGCCAAGCAAACTGCTGCAGGCAGTGGAATTTTCCACAGCCTGGGGAGCTCTCTCTTCTTATCATGACCATCTTCAACTTCTGTTTCAACCTTTTAAAAATATTTATGTTCACATGACAATATAACATGCATCTTTTTCTTATATTCCAATGAACTATTTTTATTCAAATTACATTGGCTACACAGGGGATTTTATTTCATGATTCTGAACCAAGAAAATAATTTAGACTATAGTAGCTTAACGAAATCCTTGAAATTTTCAAAAGAAAAAAAATGAAAAATTTTGAGGAGTAACATGGAGCAACTATATTCATAAGGCAAGATAACTATATCCTTGCCACATAACAGAACTTAGTTGTTTCTCACAAGTAGGGTATACGAAAGTCAATGAAAATATAGTACATAATAAATATTGACCAAATCTAGGAAAGCCAAACCAATGAAAGAGAGGCAGCAAACTTAACTCATCATAGAATATCCTGTTACCCAAGAAAATATACACAAAATAATTGAGCAAACATTTTAAAAAGTTGTTCATGAGAAAAGATAACAACCCATGAAGCAAAAAATGTCATTATTAAATAAGAACAACAAGTGGGGAAGGGATTCCAAACCTTGGAGCAACTATGGATGACCTCAAGAAATTTATTTTAATTGGTGTATATTCTGATCTAGGCAAAATGGGTTGATTAAAACAAAGTCAGATGCAGAGCTGAACTTTTGAATTGTTAAATTGCAAGGTATGTTGAGTTAACACATTTACATGTGAAAGTAAAGACACTAATAAGAAAAAACAGAACTCCAAAGTCTGAAATGGGGACATCTGAGCAAATTTGGATAACTGAGTATTTTAATCATCACACTACACTGAGACTCCTTGCAACCTGCCTGAATCTAACACCGACCTCAGAAACTACAAAGGCAAGGGCTTACACAAACACACGCGTACACAAATGCAAGTACTGACACTGCAAAGTTTATTCTAATAGTTGAAAAAAACACCAGAAACATTGTAACTCTACCTTTGTACCTAGTACTATTTCCCACTCCCACTCAGCGTATCTACTCTCCTTGCCTGATTTCATGGTTCCCAACACTGTCTACTGGAGCCCTGGTGGTGCATTGGGTAAGAGCTTGGCTGCTAACCAAAATGTCAGCCACTCCTTGGAAACCCTATGGGGCAGTTCTACTCTCCCCTATGCCCTATCGGGTCGCTAAGAGTCAGAATAGACTCAATGGCAAAGGGTTTTGTATTTTAGCACATTCTCAAAAAAACCAAATGCACTGCTGTTGAGTTGATTCCGACTCATAAGGATCCTATAGGACAGAATAGAATTGCGCCATAGGGTTTCTAAGGCTGTAAAACTTTATGGAAGCAGATTGTCACATCTTTTTCTCCCAAGGAGTGGCTGGTGAGTTTGAACCGCAGACCTTTCACTTAGCAGCCAAGCACTTTAATCATTGTGCCATCAGGGTCCCAACACATTCTTTTATAGTATAAAATTTACTTAATTATTATGTTTGTTATCCATCTCTTCTCTTCAAGGAAGGCAAACTTTTTACTCTTTTGTTCTTCAATGTATTTAGAAGAGTGACTGACACATAGAAGGAAATTTATAAACATACATGGAATATATTTGTGCTTGATAGTCTCTGTGGAAGCACACAGACAAGTTGGAAGCTCATGATGTAATTTATAGGAACCATATGATGCATTAAACTGTAGAAAAGATATTGCATATTTTTTTCCATGTCCTATGTAGGGCAAATTTTACATTTTTGTTCCTCAAGCTATAAATCAAGGGATTCAACATGGGAATAACCAGGGTGTAAAATATGGAAGCCACTTTGTCAATGTTAATGGAATGACTGGACTTGCGCTGCATGTACATAAATGTTAAAGTCCCATAGAACACGACCACCACCGTCAGGTGGGATCCACAGGTGGAAAAGGCCTTGTGCCTGCCCTCAGCTGAGTTCATCCTGAGAATGGCTGCTAGAACAAGCAGATAACAAACAACAACTATTAGGAATGATGAAATACAATCAAAAGCTGCAAAGATAAGAATGATCAATTCGATATCATGTTTGTTTGAGCAGAGCAAAGATAACAAAGGGAGACAGTCACAGTAGAAATGCCTGATGACGTTGTAGCCACAGAAGGATAAATTAAAAATCTTCATGGTGACCAGAAGAGAAACAAATGTGCCATAGAGATAGGGGATTGTCACCAGCACCCAACACGTCCTCTGTGACATGATGACTGTGTAGAGCAGAGGGTTACAGATGGCCGCATAGCGGTCGTAGGACATTGCTGACAGAATATATAGTTCACTAATCATGAACATAATAAAGGAAGCTAGCTGTGTAGCACAAAAATAGTAGGAGACTGTATTTTCATCCACAAGAAAGTTTACTAACATTTTGGGTCCTACAGTTGTTGAGTAACCAAGATCAGTGATAGCCAGGTGTCTGAGAAAAAAGTACATGGGTGTTTGTAGCTTGGAGTCTATCATGGTGAGGATGATGATGCCCAAGTTGCCCACCACTGACATCATGTAGATGATGAGGAACAGTCCGAACAACGGAGCCTGCAGCTCAGGGCGGTATGTGATTCCCATCAGAATGAATTCATTCAGCATTGTTAGATTATGTTTTTCCATCTTGGTCTATCAGGAAACCTATTCTGGATAGAGACATCAGCATAGTCAATAAGTTTTATGTAGTATCGTCTGGTAGCTTTTTATTATACAAAGGCAATATGCTAAATGAATAAGATAAATCAAAACTTACCAATATAGACATTTGAAAGGAAACTCACTTCCCACAAATAAAGCATAGGTAATAGAGAGAGAGAGAGGGAAAGGGAGAGAAGGAAAGAGGAAGAGGAAGAGAAATCTAACTTCTTATCAATAGGTGAAAATTTACTCCCCAAAGAACACTTGTCAATGTCTGGGATATTTTGGATGTCACAGCTAGGAGAAGGGTATTATTAGTATCTAATGGAGGCCTGGGATGTTACTAAACATTCTACTATATACAGTGTAACGCCCCACAATAACAAAATTTCCAGTTCAAAATGTCACTAGGGTGGTGGTTGAGAAACTCTGATATAGATATAGATGTAGATGTAGGTGTAGGTGTAGGTGTAAATGTACATGTAGTCATACGTGTACATGCACATATACATACACATATACATATACATAGATAGGATCCCCAGTGGAGCAATAGATAAGAGCTTGACTGCTAACCCAGAAGTTGGCTTTCGAATCTACCAGCCACTCCTTGGAAACCCAGTGGGGAAGTTCCACTCTGTCCTGTAGGGTCTCTCTGAGTTGGAATTGACTCAGTGACAACAGGTTTGGTGTGTTTTTTTAAATCATGTAGATACATAAAGAAAAATTTTTTTAAAAAATTAAAATTTTTAAGTGTTAGTTATATGGATGGTTACTAAACATTCTGTTTGCCATTTAATGACAATCACATGATGAGATTTATGAACTTATAATACATATGTTAATTTCATTAAAAAATTTTAAATTGAAAATACCCAGAATGAGTGGAAACATTGAATAAGCCTTGCTTCAAGACACAGGCCAATAAAAGCCCTTATGCCACAGGAGGTGCAGACTGAAACAACATACTTGTCAGGTATTGAACATATGCACTAACAAGGAAAATCTAATAGATGGTAATGGGGATTATTTGTCTTTATACAGGAAAATATTCCAGGTGGTAGACACACCCAGATAGAGTCTCTGTTATACCTCCACTTGCAGGTTATAGAATAAGATATCTTAATCTCCTTATCCACATCAGCAAAATGACCACTTCCTTTAAGGTTGCTTGAAAAATAAATGAGGAATAAATGTTTCAATGTATTTGAGGTGTCAGGACATAGATCTCAAATATCAAGTATATAGTGCTGTTGTTGTTTTTAAAATGATGACAGTTACCTGAAAGAAGTTTTCTTTACATACGCATATGTAAATTCTTCTAGTGTGAATTAGCTTCTATGTCAGGGTTAAGATGATAAGTAGTAGGTGGAGTAACGTGGTATCCATGTAACTGAACCCAGCCCTTCCCTCCTCCACCCTCAACTTCATGACTAAAATTGTACCATCAGTGTGCCAGTCTTCTGGATTATATATCTTCTACTTTATTTAAAACATTTTAATATAAATTGATCGACTGCTAATCTAAAGCTTGGCTGTTCGAAACCACCAGGGGCTCCTCAGGTGAAAGACTTAGCTGTCGGCTTCCATAGAGATTTAGAGCCTTGGAAACCCTATGGGGTCACGACTGAGTCAGGATCCACTTGACAGCAGTGTGTTTTAATATAAATTTACTTAAGATATGTCCTAACCTAGGGACATTTTCATTATAACTAACATATACTAAGTTGTTTGTAACAAATCAGATATATTTTTTCATGGAAGAATCTAAGATAGTGAGAGGAAATTTGAGCAAATTGGGAGAAAGTGAGGTCTCTGTCATTGATTTTATATAATGAAATTTCATTAGAAAATTCCATTTGGATAAGGAAATCCTCTAGTTTAAACTATTATATAGTCCATAATGTTTATAAACATAAGTATATGTAAATTAAAATGTGTATACATCTCTCTAATAAACCACATATTAAAAAAAAAAAAATGCCCAAGAAGAATGAGAATGGCAGTCTAAGGGAAAATAATTAATGATTTGAAATGATACTACTTACAATGAAAATAGCAGTACCAGCATCCTCTGAGTCAGGAATAATCAAGCAGATAGAAAAATACAATAGTATTATGTTAAATAATAAAATGGTTACAGGGAAAATACACTATCTCATATAAAACATTGCTTATAAGGCTGTGACCCTATACACACACATTGCTTATGTCAGTAAAGCAACTGTTGGTCTCTTCCTGCCTGGAGCAAAGGAGATTGAAGAAAACTGAAGACGCAGGAAAGTAGTTAGTCCAAGGGACTAATAGGCCACATGAACCACAACCTCCTCTAATGTGAGACCAGAAGAACTCGATGGTGCCTGGCTAGCACTACAGACCACTCTGACGAGGATCACAATAGAGGGTCCCTGGCAGAATAGGTAAAAAATGTAGAACAAATTCAAATTAAAAAAAAAGATCAGATTTACTTGTTTGGAAGAGGCCAGAGAAACCCCTGAGGCTATGGCCCTAAGACAATTTTCTGACATGAAACTATTGATACTCCTGGAGGCCACCTTTCAGGGCAATAACAGATGGGGCTATGAAATTAAACAATAACATCTGTGAAGAATGTGCCCATTAGAACAATCAACTAGAGGAGACCAAAAGAGCAAGAAGGTGGGGAGGGACAGGGCAGCCTGACTAATGGAAACAGGGAAGCCAGGGAGGAAATAAGGAGAGTGCTGACACATTTTGTGCACAAATCTTTGATTAGAAAATTAATTTGCTTTCTAAACTTTCACCTAAGCACAGTATTTTTTTTTTTTTTTAAAGAAGTGACGAATTGGGTATCAGTAGGTATTACAACTAGGAAATCAGTTTCCTTCAATGAATGCAATAAAATCAGTATAAATCTTGTTTAGCTGCAATGACGAATGGGTGATAGAAACAAGTATTTATATTGGTAACTACTGATTTTCCTATAAGGTAAGGGAAGATAAAACGACTTTCTCTCAACAGCTTTGGAGTTCTATGGATAACACCAAATTATTTTTCAGAGGTTACTATCTTTGGTGAGTATCTGATTCTCATTTTATAAAGCTATATTCTTTGAGAAAATTATGTCTTCTTTCTGCCAGATTCCATAGGAACCTGAAGAATATGGTATATATTATACTATCATCATAAAACTGGGTACTTAAAAGATTTCCTAAACTCCAAAAATTGCTTTTCACATCTCGACATGAATTGTGAGATGAAAATATATTTGTTTCCTCACCAAGAGATTATCAAAAATGCACGTTTATACACTTATTTAAATATGCATTAAATATTCAATTACACTTGAGAGGGGCATAAGAAGAGCCTAGAGCCAGTATATAACTAAGAAGTTAGAAGGACGTCAACATTGGAGACTGAATAGCTGCAGCTTCCTAGTTCCACTGCAGTATTTTTTAATAGTGCATATGCTTCCTTTACTTTCATATTTGAGCTCTATCATTCACATAATTAGGCCACCTGGGTGGTGCAAACAGTTAAGCACTCAGCTACGAACTGGCATTTGGCAGGTTGAGTTCACTCAGACATGCCTTGGAAGAAACAAAGATCTACTTCTGAAAGGTCACAGCCATTGAAAAACCTACGGAGCACAGTTCTCTGACACACACAGGGGAGCTACGAGGCAACATTGACTCCAGGACAACTTTTTTTTTTTTTCTCTTTGTTTTTTATTCATATGATTATTTATATAAAATAAAAATATTGTTTAACCATATATTGATAATGTTTCAAAGATGCTTATGAGCATTTATCCTCTGAAACAGGGTGAGAATATTTGAAAAAAAAATAAGAAGAAGAAAAAAGGGAGAGAGATCCAAGTCTTAGGCACTGCTGAAAAGTAGAATGCACGCAGAACTGAGTCAGAAATCCTAATATTTTGCGACGACTTTGCCATTGAATAAAGTGGGACCCTGCAAGTGTCACCGAAACATTCTGGGTATTGGTAAAATATGGAAATACTCTCTCTTTTTTACCTGTAAGGAAGCCTCTGTCTTGATTCTCCCATGTGCTTCTTTACATGGCATGGTGAGAACAATTTAAAGATTTTTTTTTTTCCCTTGGAGATTCTCCTTGAGGATATGTCAAGCAATTTATCGATTGTCCCTGAAGCATTTGAAAGCTTAACAAAATATCTGGGGGTTGTCTGTTAATTGTCCAGGACAATTTTATTCACCAAGGACCAAGTTTTTATTCATATAGTGTATACACAGGTCTGTATTTATCTGTTTCATGCATTCTTGCATCTTACTCTTTGTTCACTGTCCATTTTAACAAACCAGGGATCTGGATTAAAATATTGCATCTGTAAAACAGAACTATCAATATACAACATTTCTACAGTGGTCTCTTCAAATAGACGACAAAATGAGTAAGTGCTTAAACACATTCTTACTGCGTTATTTAAAGCCTTAAATGGAGTAAAAGTAATGCATTGTGCATATGTGAAGTATGACTTCTTGTTTGCTGTTATTATTGTTGTTGTTGAAGTTTTCTTTCTTTTTTTTTTTCTACCTCAGGATCAGAAATGTTACCCTTGCTTCTCATTTCATGATCAATTTGCCATCATCTGTCTGTTTAGGTTTTTTGCTTGTTTGTTTTATTTTCTATCATTACATTTCAACATTTTGTGTTTTTCCTTTTTGTCCAATCCTCATTCCAAAACATCTTTCTTACCTTAATACATGCTCTGTTGTGCTTGACATATGCTCTACCATATCAGTATATGCTTATAAAGTGTGGTATCTTGTGTGTAACGTTTCCTTATGAATAGATATTTACTGTGCTGTAAATCTTTTTGCTGCATTTTGTCAATGAAAATAATTGTGATGTATCCATTTGTGACTTTTTTGCATATTTGTCCTATGTAATTGTATGTATGTATATATACACATACTTTTTTTTCACTTGTCTATTCTGTAATGGAAGGAGCCATGGTGGTGCAGTGTTCAAACACTCTCTGTTAACTTAAAGGTTGCCTGTTTGAAGCAATAAGCCATTCTGAGGAGAAAAGATGTAGCCATCTGCAACCATGTATATTATAGCCTAGGGAACCCTGTGGGGTATTTCTACTCTGTCCTATAGGTCATTATGAGTCGCAAATAACTTGAAAGTACCTAACAAAACAAAAATTCTTTAATGGTAGATATTTTGTTGCTTCCAACAGAACGTTGTCTGACTTTCTTGCTTTGTTCATTTTTATGACCATTTTTGTGGACTGTTGATTTTCTTTTCTTTTTTTTTTTGAGTTTTGAGATCCCTGTATATATTATGGATCTCTGATGACGCAGTGGTTAAAGAGCTGGGTAGCTAACCAAAAAGTTGGCAGTTTGAATCCACCAGCCGCTCCTTGGAAAACTGTGGGGCAGTTCTGCTCTGACCTATAGGGTTGCTATGAGTTGGAAT